AAAGGGAGAAAGAAGAGACAAGAGTTTAACAACTTGTGCAGCAAGTTTCAGAATACTGATCTTTGGATGAACTACCAAAATTCTGTTTGTGTAAAAAATTTCCATCGCCGTACAATTTCACATTGGGTGTAGGTGTGTGAATGACTCCCCCCATTTTCCCCTAATGAAAGCTTTCCAGATCAATAAAAGACCTTGCTACTTGTACTGAAGTTATTCAATGATATGATACATTCTTCCTTTAAAGAATACATATACTTGCCTAATAATTCCAAACTAACAAGACTTGAGACAAGTACTATACTTCATATTCTAGTCCCTAAAACAGAGACTTTTAAAGAAGATATGACAAACATGAAAATTTAGATGTCACTTCTGTCAAACCTTGAAAACTCAAAATCAAGAAGAGTTAAGGAAAACACTTTTTTTTCCTCTAAAGAGTAGTAGCTTTTAAGTATATTCAATCCATTTCAAAAGTGTTACACAATTATTTGTCCTACCTTAAATAGATACCATACAGAATTAAGTGCACACATGACTAGTGATAAGATCTAGATGTTATAATGCCTAGAACTAAGGTATATTACTTAAAAATAGAGATTAAGGAAGATATCCCAAATTCACCACCACTTATTTTCACTGGCTTTAAAAAAGCAGCCAAATATTGTGCCATAATACTGAGAGAGAAAAAATACCCATTTTTTACAAAAGGCCATTCTGAAAAACAAACATTGCTTATTAAGACAAAATAAAATAAAGAAACCTTTGCCAAAAAGGTTAGTGGTTACAATTACAATATATAGCAATTAAAGCATACCATGAAACAGTGCCCTAGCAGCGAGTGTGCCCCATGAAACATGCTCAAAGACAAGCTCTGAAGGAGGTGAGGAAGCATATAGTACAAGGGATATAGCAGTAATATTATGAAAATAAGGAATAATTCAGGCTGAATACTTCAGCACTTTGCGGGGGGAAGGGGAGAGAAGCTTCCTGACAGGGAGAATCATTAGTCTGTGGAATTGTGTAGCCTATTTAAGAGGAACTGGACAGGACTTTGGTAACTGCATAATAGGAACAATCCTGCGTAGGCAGAGAATGGACCAGACAATTTCTTTCCATCTCTAGCTCCATGATTTTGTGACCAAAACTTTTTTTAATATAGTTATCAATTAAATCAGTGTATTTTATACACTTCTATCAGTGAAGAATTTAATTTAGGGCATTGTAAGACAATAAAATTGTTAATTTGTCTTCACAAATATACTTACAATATCAAATGCTTCTGCATTTCAACTCAGGAACATTTTATTCTTTATAGCCATGACGACATCCAAATTGGTATCCTTCTGATATAAGCTACAAAAGTGGCATTTACATCTAACGAAACAAAAGACTAGTATACTAAAGATATTTTTGTGTTTATGTTGAGGATAGTTGCAAGCACATATTCCTGCACCAGATAGGACTATACTTCTGAAACAAATCCACATGAACAACAAACAACAGTCTGAAATTAGGTGGCTGAGAGCTGTTACTGTAGGAAGGACAAGAAATCTGACAATAACAAATCTGAAGACTTTTCCCATATCCTTCAACCAGTTTTTCTCCATCTGGCACATTCGACTAGTCCTGATGGGAGCTGGCAAAACAGCATGGCCAGGAAAGCGACATGACTTAAGATCCACCCTTCTCTCCCTGATGCAAACCACCTTCTTCTGTCACAGGTGGCTTCTTGAAAGGCACCCACATTCCCTCCATGTTTTGTCTCAATACAGGCAGCAGCAGGAACAGCTCATATATATCTGCTGGCCAGCTCAGGCAGCTACCTAATGGTCACCCTCAATTTCATGTCTGCTCACAACACTCAAGTTCAATCATGGGTGTCACCAGTTGATACTTCTGCACCCACCATGAGCAGCATGGAGCCTTCTGTTGAGCTGAAACAATGGGGAGGAGAAGAGTAGCAAACCAAAGTTAATGTAAGAAACAAAACAGAAAAAAAGATGACAAGCAAGAAAAGGGCAGAAAGGGATGTTGGGGGAAGATTGTGGCAACTGTTCTGGAGCCATGGCACAAGACAATGTGGTGACAGGGGAGCTGCCATCCAAACTAACACAGAAGTGTTGGGAATCATTGCTTCAGTCCCTAAGCTGCAGGCCACATGTCACTGATCACCTCTGATATAGTCAAGAAACAGCAACTACAGCTCTAGAAGAAAGCCAGAGCACCCTGGCAAGCAGCCACTAGTCAGAGAAAAAAAAGGAACTAAGTAATACAACACTTGCTAATGTTTAACCATTCAAGAAGTTTAGAGACTTCCATTGCAACATTGTTATTTACAAACATCTGAATAAAACAAATATTATGACTTAAGTAGCTCCAAAATGTAGCAAGATTTTCCTCATCATTCAGCTATTTCATCAACTATGATTTATGACTGTTCTGGTTCCGTGGATTTTTTTTTTAAATAAAATTTCTGTTCCATATTTGTCAGACAGTTTACAAAATGCTGTTTAGGTCATTTACCACAGTCTGAGGATATACATTTAGAAGCAGAAATATCTGGATCTTGAAAGCAACTGTGCCAAGACACGCTGATTTACAGACAAATATAAAATACTAATAGTGTACCTTTAAAAAAAAAATTGTCTGAAGTTCTATTAACTATTGATCCAAGATCACTGTAACCGGAAAAGAATTCACGGAAAATACAGTACTCAAAAAATTGCACTTTATTTTGTACATCTAACAGCACTCTGTAGTCAGTTACACTGTTTCCCCTTTACAATCAGATTCCCTGTTGCAACCTTTTAAGATATAGAACAAAGTGACTAAACTAAACTGGCAAAAGGATTGAGGGACACTAACAGCATCTGAAATGCTACTTTTAATTCTAGATTGGACATTGTCTATCCTTTTAAGACTGGTCGTAACTATTCAAAATAAGCAGTAACAATGAATTTGCACTTCTATGTTAAATGTTACAGGCATGTTGCACAGTGACCAGAAAAGAAATCCTAATATTAAAAAGCGTTGATATATTTAAAGCCTAATAGGGTAATAAAATGCAGCAATAGCAAGAATGAAAGTCAAATGAAGTAGTATTATTATACAAGTCATTCCACAGATCCCAGTTAAAATAATATGCTGAAAGTTGGCCACCCACAAAAATAATAGTATACTGTTAGACACCAGCAGGGTGCAATATATGGCACCCATGGCAGCATCATGACTTTAAAAAAAAAAATGTTTCTCATTGGAGAAAAGTCTATAAGGTGACAAATCAGGCAGTTAACTCCATCAATTCACTTGACTACGCCCTATTTCACAATAACTCCTTTGGGCTGGCACTCCATTACTGTTCAGAAACATTAGAGGGAGAAAACTGGAGAACTCATCCATAGTGGGGAGGAGTTCAACTACTAGAGGAGAAAATATAAATTAAAAAACAGAACTGGAAATTTGGACAATCCTATTTCACTTCAAATACTAACATGCTATATAAGGGCCTGATCGGCTCCTACTGAGGTAAACAGGAGGTTTAACTGACATGATGGAAGCAAGACAATGCACATCATCATGTGAATGTTTCCGTCAGATATTTTCATAATAAATCAAGAGACTGAAAGATACAGTAGTTAACAAAGGAGGTGAGCCTAGGAAATTTAAAGGTCCCACACTTCTTGCGTCTAGCACCTAACCAACCAATAGATCTTATGAACACACAGTGTATTCAGTTATTTTGGACTGGCTACAAAGCACTGCTACTTTATTACCCTTAAATTTAGTATATTGGCTCAAAACTGTATGTTAAATTAGTCATCTTTTCGTTCCTATAAATGAATGAATATAAGAACTGAAAATGTAACCATTTGTGTTATAGTTATTAAAACATTTTGTTAACAGAAAAGGAAGAATATTGCCCTGACTTAAAGGCTTGTTTAAGTTGTTGTACCCTGTTTAGCCAAAGGGCAATTCAATTATCACCAAGTGGCTTTGAACAACAAACATCACCTACTGGTTCAGAAGGAAGATTTGATTGTGGCTCAGCTAATAAGCCAGAAACTCTGACTTCCTCCTACCCCACCCATTACCACACACACAAAAACTGCTTAACATGAACGAAACCACAGACTAGGCCTCCCCACCACTCCTCTGCCTGATCCATCCCTAGAACTGCTCAGTGCCTAAAACACACAGCAAAGTGCAAGGAACAAAGCACTGACGTCAATTACTGGAGGATTAAATCTAACAGCTAGGAGAGGAAGAGGAGGCGGCCTCATTAGCAAAACCACCACCAAGAAAAACCTAACAACCTATAACCACATTTACCAAGAACCATGTAAGTTTTATTTTCTCGAAAAGAGGGAATGCCAGCACATCTCAGTAGAGATTATGTGTATGGATACACATCCACCCACCCGTGAGTGTTGGGGGAGGGAGGGGGGGTTGCTCATCTCCATGTATTAATCTAGGGATAGAGGCTGATGCCTCTTTTAGCAGGTCACATCTGACATGAAAGAAGCCATCCAGAGCTGCATGGGACGGAGAGTGAGGAAGGCAAGGAGTGGGTGGAAGTTTACAAAGAGACCAAGAGGAGGCACCGAGGCACGGTCCAGGAGGGAGAGGTTACTAATACTGAAGGGGCAGCAGAAAGAGTTTCAAGCCCGGGGGGAGAGAGAAGGTAGTTGGAAAAGGCGGGGGCGGGGAAAAGAATAAAGAATAAGCGAGAACAGATACAGGGAACTGGATCTTTCCCGCCCCCGAGACGCCATGGCCCCTCAGGGAATTCCGGGACACTCTTACCCAGCCCATGCTCGGGGCCGGAGGGGAGGCAGATGTCCCCCCTCCCTCCGCCAAAGCCCGGGTACCTCCCGAGGAAGAGGACACAGCCCACCGCCAGAGAACGGGCCTTGTCCAGACAAACACCCGGGAGCCCCCTCCTCCAGCCCCAGGGAGCGAGACCGAGCCGGAGCGGCCCCGCACCGCCCCCCTCCCCTTACCTCCGTTCGCTGCTCCGCTAGGCCCGGACCATTTCCCGGCTGCCGCCACCGGCCCGTCGGGCGGGAGACGAGGAGGCCCAAAGGGGACTGAGGAGCCGCCACTGAGTCAGCGACAGCCAGGGGGAGAAGGGGAGTCAGGCCCCGGGGGACGGGAGCGGAGAGGGCAGGGCCCGGAGCCGGGCACAAAGACCAGGCCCAAGGAGCGGGCTCGGGCCCCGGGGGGAGGGAAGGCAGGACCCAGAGGGGCGGGGGGAGCTCCGGGAGCGGGTCACAGGCGGGGGGGGACGGGGGCGGCGGCGGCGGCTCCCCGGGGGTCCCGCCGCTCCATTGCGGGCTGGGCTGGGCGTGCGGCTGGGTCCCGGTGCGGCCCGGCAGGGTCGGGTCCTGCTGGCTGGCTCCTCAGAACAGTGACTCCGGCCCAGCTCCTCCCGCAGCCGGGCATTCGGATTACCCAGCAGACATCGCGCTCGCACAGCCCCCGCCGCCGGCCACGTGACCCCCAGGCACGGCCTGGGGAACCCGGCACGTGACCCGGGCGAAGGCAACAGAGACAAGCCCCGCCTCCTCAGGGGAAGGCGCCGGATCCCGCCATGTGATAGGGGCAGAGCGAAGGGGCGGAGCTTAGGCTCCCCCTGTCGGAGAAGAGGTGCCTACTTGATGTGCTGCAGCCCTCAGGTGCAGTTACCAAGATTCAGCACCTAAACATTTGAGGCTGTCCAGGTAGGGTGACCAGATGTCCCGATTTTATTGGGACAGTCCCACTTTTTGGAGCTTTTTCTTACATAAGCACCTGTTGGCTCCCACCCCCGTCCGGATTTTTCACACTTGCTATCTGGTCACCTTATGTCCAGGCTTGGCTGCTGCCCATCCAGAACACTTAGTGCCCCTCTCCATCAGATGCCAGGCAATGCAAAATGGCAGAACGCACTGCCCCGCACCCTGAACTCTACTCCTGGCACTGGTAGGAGCCACCACTGATTGCCTCTATGTTTCAGCCAGGGCCGCCCTACTGTAAGCACTAAATAAACCAGTCATTTTATGGGGTGTATCCCCCACAACTGCATCCTCTCCGTCAACTATATGTTCTATACTGACTAATGCAGGGATTAGAAAGCAGGTGATGTTCCAGAGGGGAATTGTTAGGGTTGGTTAACGGCTGGCCGTGGTTTGTGCAGAGTGGATGAAGTGATCAAGGACAGGACAGATACTGTACATAGCTGCCATTCATACATACCACCCTAAATGCAACTCCTGCTTTCCTGAGGACAGTCTGACAGTTTTTCCTACTCTACCTATGTGCTGCAACCTCACAGAACTATATAGCCTCTGTAAGCATAGGGTGTTACATCAGTCAGGGAAGGTTGGGGCATCACTCAATGGGACACAGTTAAGGTTAAGGGCAGGGCTGATGCATACATCTCTCTATATTTAGTGGATTTTAGTGGTTTAAGTATCAGTGAACTTGATATTGTAGAAGAGGAGGAAGCAGTGCTAGTCAACCTTGACTCTACTTTAGTGAAGTTTTTGGGTAGTGAATAGATGGCAATGTTAAACTGAAAAGTTAACAGGACATTAGGAATTTGTCAACATCTGTGAGATGTATTTCCTGGTCTGATGCCTGAGATTAGACTTGAGATACACATGTGGCTGAAAGATAACTTGTGACAAGTATATCAGCTTTTGTTGGCTTTGTTCCTTTCTTTGGTTTCTTCCTTTGATCTTTATGCAATAATTAATTACCAAAACTGTAGTTAATAGTTTGAAGGAAGGACTCCCCCCATTATTTCTCAAAAGTTTACATATAGTTTTAGACTCCTTTTCCATACTTACATATGAACAAATTTAACTTCAAAATAAGATTAACAGATCTCAAAATGCTTTAACTAAAAGTCACTAGAGGACCAGCTCATTATCACTTATGTTATCCGAGACAAGAGAAGTAGGAACCTTGACAGTGTTTTCTAGGAAGATGCATTTGAGATTAACCCCCCAAAATACTGTCTTTTCACATTTCCAACATTTGTACAGATTATCATGCTACTAAAGGATTACTGAATTCTGTCTGAGGTAATAAAAGGATGACAGCATGTCAGTGAAATATGGTGTCAGGTAGCAGATGGTTGTGTATTTGTGTTCATCCTTCAGACTATATATTCACCTTGTCCTAACTAGTATTGTTTCACCAGGTGGTGAAAAGTGCTGATTTACAACCCTCAAGCATGAAGTCCTCTAGCTACAAAACATGCACAACACAGGCAATGACAGCACAATCTCTCTCACACACACTCTACCCACCTGGAGGAAACCCGTAGTACCACTGAAAGTATCATATATAGAGGTGAGAAGGTAGGTCATTGTCCCTGTTACATTCAAGTTTTGGCTTCTCCAGTGAGACTTTCTAGTCTTGATGTGGACAGTTGTCAACTAGGTTCTGTGGATCAAGAACTGGGTGAAGCAGTCATTTAACACATCAGTGAAAACATGGATCCAAAACCCCCTCCCCTTCACCATCCTCACCATTCATACTCAATTTCCATACCCACATGTGCAGGAGTACTTCAAGTCCGCCAACCCAGGATGAATTTCATCTAGGAGGCATATGGCACAAGAGAAAAGTCATTAAGATAGCCTCTGCTCTGGACTTCTTTCCATTTAAAATCTCAAATATAATATTAAACTTATTTTTGGCATATGTTCACAGGGTGTTGCTTATAGCATTATTCCTATACTTGCCAGTTCAGACCTTGAGTGAATTCATGGCAGCAGCATAATCTAGGTACACAAATCACTTTAGCATCTGAGCATCTGTCCCTTTGAAAGACTGTAGGCATCAGATTTAAAGAGAGGCTTTTTTTCTTCATCTAGTAATTCTGTCCTTGTAATCCTGACCCATCTACAACTGCTTTCTGATTTTATACAGCTGTGTACTACTCAGATGAGGTCCTACTGTTTAAATATTTATACTTAGAATGTTACATTGTTGAACGCACAGAAAAGGATGGACCCTCTTCTTATTGGGACCGTTAATCACACTATGTTTGTAAACCACGTTAAGATCGTCTCATGAAAGGCACTAGAAAAAGCCAATCAATCATCATCAATGCATGAATTACCAGTGCTAATTTGAGTATTTGCTGTAAAAATGCTGCTTTTGGACTACCCATATTCCTTTGTGTAATCTGTTTTAAAGGTGTTTTTCTGTATTTCTTTTTTTCCCCCCAATTCAGCTAATGAAGTATTTTGTTCCTGTGACATTTTATTCCATGCATATTAAAACAAATCCATCTAGAATTTCACACAATTGTTGCTACTCTGGACATCAGGGCGACTCAGAATTTTATGGCACCAGGAGAGATAGAATTCATTTCTCCTGCTGCAAAAGCACAGCCCCCTACTCCTTGAGCTAAAGGACAAACACCGTTGGGAGGTAGGCACACAGCTGTGCACGTCTGATTCCACCCAACAGGGAACAAAAGCGCAGATACATACTAGCCAGCTAATTACAGTACTTTAAAACAGCAGTCTTTATTTAGACACTAGGTGGTTAGGTCTACACCCCCTGCACAGAAGGTAACTGTGGCCTGCAGGAGCTTCTGCACTAGTCTGGCATAAACAAAACAGCTAACTTATAATTAAAAGGAGGTGTACATTAGCCACAGTGATTCCTGCAATGTGAAGGCTCTGAAGCATCTTTACTACTGCTCAATATCCCAGGGGAGGATTCAATCTCTGTTCCAGTTCATAAAAATCCCCCCTTCACAACCCAACAATTATGGTTGTCTGTATGGATCCTGAATTTTCTTTTCTTCCTTCGCATTCATGGTAAGGTTGGTTATATGGCTACAGGGATTTTTTTAAACAGACATACATAGCATTTGTACTTAGGCTCAACATTTACACTTTGTGTGGATTTACCAGTAGTGTGTCCTCCTAATACAGATTGCAAGTAGAGGCTCTTTCAGAGTCCTCTTCCTTACTGCATAAGGTCTTACATTTTAAACAGTCACTAGTCCTGCTTTTTGTTTATTTTTAAAATATATTGAAGCAGAGTTCCGGGCCTTTGACTTCATGTCAGTGAGATTAAGACCTCCGCCAATGAGTATGATCCGATATTTATTTCTTCATTTAAAAATAAAGCAACAGGTGCCCCTCCAGTGTTCCAGTGGCAGCAGTCCAGCGCAATAGTATTTTTCAGTAAATGTTATCTTAAGCTCCAGAATCTAACTTTTCATTTAAAATTAAATTATGTCTCTATCCTGTACTGTTGCAAAGACCCCTCAAATTGTGAGCAGAGTGTAAAAAGATAAGAACATCTGCTCAAGTCTACTGCCAGCCTGACACAATAACTGTGAGACATGTGAACTGCATTTCAACAGGGTATTGAATCTGAGACTGTATTATAATTTAAATATCAACTTTATTCAAAAATACTATCAAGGAGGAAACAATATCCTAATTGCCTGAAAATTTTGTAACAGCTATAGTTAAATGTAATCTTGCAGGTTCCTATAACTTAAAAGTGCTTGCAAAAAAAAGAAATCTGTTTTTGCAGTTTATTTACTTTGTGCATTTAACAGCACTTTGTGTATACACAGTTTCTTCTTTGATGAAAATACCGTTATAAACATCAACAGAGGAGCAGAAAAAAAAAATGGAAGCATTTTTAAATTTGCAGTCCTTGATTTTTTATTTTTTTTTAAAGTTTCCACTTTGACAGAATACCCCTTTTAAATCCTTCATTTTTCAAAAAATCAAGTTGATTATTTTACTGTTGATCAAACCATACAAAAAAGTTGAGGGTAAATTAACTTATGAAGATCTGCAAAAGCAGCTTTCAGTGGCATCTCAAGTGAGAGGAGAACAGGGCTTGGGAGAATATCTTTTTTGTATAAACTCAGTTTGACCCATTGAGGGTAGGATGTTCAGTATCATTTCTTTTTAAAGTGAAGAATTAAATTAGAAAAAAGAAAAGGAGACTAAGGTGCCACAAGTGCTCCTTTTCTTTTTGCGGATACAGACTAACATGGCTGCTACTCTAAAACCTTCTTAAAGTAGAGAAAGTCCTATATATTAGTGAAAATCCTATCTACAAATCCATCTCACATACAGCCCTCTTACGTGCCCTCAGTTAGGGCATCAAAAACCTACGTCCAGCTCTCACAAATGTTTGATTTAATAAAACTCCAAACTAGAAAATCAAGTTGCCTGTGCCTTTTGTTTTTCCATCCCATCAGCAATGTTTCCCCTTGAAATATGACACTTCTCCTGAGGCCATTCTTCCACTAGACTGCATCAATTGCTTCAGTTCAATTAGCAATGGCAGTTTTACTTGTAATGGGGAGGCATTAAATTGAGCCTGTTTAAAGCAGCACAGGTCTCAATAACTACTGAGTAAATGTAACAATTTCTAGCCAGTAATCTTTGTAAATTAATTATAATTTGTGCCTAATTTAGAGCTTTGGAAGATGGTGATTAAAGAAATACCTTTCCTTGCAGAATCAAAGTGAAATAAAATATCCTTTTAAGAGCAAATCAGGACTTGAGCTAGTAAGAATTGGATGGCTGAAAGCTCTGGTCAGGCTGGTGGGTTTTGCCCTGTAAGATAAAAACGGCTGAGGATAAATAAAACAGAATGGAGCATGGATTTAAAATTAAGCAGAAATATCACATCTGAGAGCAAGTGATCTAAAATAAATAAATTTAATTAACTACATAAAAAGCTACTATGTTTTTGGCTATAAAATATTGGAAGGAGTTCCTTTCATGGCCTACCACTTAATCACTACTGAATGATATAAAGTATCCCGTGAAATAGCATACTGTCTCCTTAGACCTCCCAGCTCAGGGACCAATAGACCAGAAGTTAAACATAGGTTTCCTTAATCTCTTTAGCAGTTGTATTGTTTTGTCTTATCTCCTGCAGACAGCTTCTTGGATCGGCAAGTGTGCCCATTTTCTAAAGTTATTTTCCCCAATCTCCACCATATCAGTAAATTTACAGTATATTCCAATGAATATAAACTTAGCAAACAGTGTTTAATAATTTATTAACTTTTCCCATTAAATGGTACATTCTCTAAGATGACAAACAATTTCCTGGTAGTTTTATTTACAGTCTTCAGCGTGTTCTGTAAAACTCAGTAATGATTACACACTAAAACACACAACATACATATTTTCAAACATTTAAATAGATGCACATTTTATTCCAAAGTAATTCTACACACTACTTTTTCCATAAAAATATAAAAAATAGTTTAATTACTATATTTTACCTAAACCAGGATATCTAAGAATTTTCTTTCACATATGATGCCCTGTCCCAGAAAAAGGGAACTCCATCAATAAGAAATTGAAAAGGAGACTGCATCACAAAATTAAATGACTAATGCCATCTGCTTAAATTCACCACAACAGCAAATTAGTTCTATTTAGCAACTTGCAAAAGACATCTTGCAATATGCAGGGTTGTGATGCTAGTTTGCTGGGTTTTTTAGCTAATATGCCTCTTTCATTTCTTTCACGAATGTGCACAAACTTCTTATGTAAAAATAATGGACTGAGCCAAATAATCATTTTATACTGCAGACTATAATGCCAGCTACCATGTGCCCAACAAACGTAAACTGACAATCTTACACTACATAATAATTTTGCAAAAATAGCAAAAGGGAAATATCTTCCTTTTGGGAACTATATTTAAAGGTGACTCATTTTTTCTAACCAAACTTCCAATGAAAATAGCTTTTTGTCCTTGCTTTGAAAATAATGCCTCGATTATATTTATGTTACTACCATTTCTCCAAGTTCTCTGACTCATATTCTGTGTGGAAAGCTAAATGAGTTGAGGGGGTGGGGCAGAGACACCACTATGGCCCCTCTCTTTTTAGGATACATTTAATTTTATAAAAAAGGCACAAAGATGAAACTCCTAAGCAGCATCAGTTATTATGATTCGCACCCCCTGCCCATAACCTTCATCTTATTCCAATGCTACTGCTGCAAGAGACATTCTTTGTCTCAGAGAATGTTACAGTTCCATGAGCTCAGGAAACAGGCAAAGTTGAAAAGACTAGCTAAAGCCTTTGTACAGTACAAACAGCATATGGATCTCTAACAAATTAGCGCTAATAAAAGTTTTATGTTGCAATTAATCTTTGACCTGGAAATCTCAGGAAAAACCATTTGAGAAAAGCTCAGCAGCAAAGTATAATATATTTCTCAGCAAAGGGACTGAAATCACCCTCTGAGCAATACTGTGCATTCAGTTTAGCCAGATAATGGTAATGCTATTAGAGTACTACACAGCCAATGGTGTTAGAAGCTCTTATTCCTCTTCCTCCCTAACTAGTTTACAGGATTTTCTAAAACATAAATGAAGCTGCTGTAAACGGAGAGTCAGTATATGATGTATACAGCACAATCTGAAACAAGAAGGTTTTGCTCTCTGGCATGTAAACATTAGGGTTACTGGACTTTAGGTCGTATAAACAAATCTGATGACAGATTTTTAAACTAAAAAAGTAAAATTTCCTATTAAAGAATTAACCACAAAAATACTCTTTCAATAAGTCTCACTTGCCATGTATACCTTTTTATGTCTTATGACGAATATGTAAAACACTTAGAAAGTTTTAAACTGTAGAAATTTTAACCAGTTAAGCTGTTTGGCAATAATGTATTCAAAACCTCCTTACAGAATGACATTATCGTTCACTAATACCAGTCCTACATTGTCACCGAACATGGCACCATGCTATTTCTTCTTCTTTTTCTTTGGTGGCTCATCATCAGAGCTGCTGTCTGTGCTGGTGCTGCTGCTACTGGAGGAACTAGAATCTGACTCGAAGTCTGAGGAAGAGGAAGAACTACTTGAAGATGGGGAGGATGAGGAAGTGGAGGAGCTTTCGTCACTGTCGCTTTCATCAGAAGAAGAAGAGGTAGAGGAATCTTCACTCTCGGATGAAGAATCACTAGCTGAACTGATGCTGCTGTTGCTGCTGGAACTGGTCACGCTCTTAGACCTACAAGAAACATGAAAAGGACAGGTGAGAGAGTTTCTTCCCAGTACAGTGGTCACTGAACAGACCTGCTGAAGGCACAACTACAAAAAACAATGTTCATTACAAGCTTGCTTTTATAAGCTCAAAACATTCACCATTTGGACTCAAACTTTCCAGACATGACTTTGTCTGAAGCTGGTATTTCCTCCACTTTCTTGCTTCTGTTTTGAACAAATACCCTTCAGCCATTTGAGTAATGGGACAGTACAATACATACTTCCCCATTGTAAAACAAAACATAACTACAGGAGAAAAAGCAAAGGTTTGAAACTTGGTACAGGTATCATCCTTACTGAGGACTGGGGTCTTTGCTTGGTTAGAGTGGGAGAGAGGGAATAAAAGTTTTAAGTGATAGGAAAAAATGACTTTGGACAACAAAGGTTTTAGAAAAGCTTAATGAAGATCTGTTCCTTTGACACATTATTGTACATTCTCCCTGGATGAAATTCTAGCCCCACTGAAGTCAATGAGAGTTTTACTATTGACTTCAGTGGGTCAGAATTTCACCCAAGGGATGCTGCTCCCAAGCTACTGAGGGAGAAGGAATCCAACGTGCCCACCACTACGGTAACATTTTGTGGGATGGAGATTTTAATAACCTTAGGGAAACTTTCAGAAAAACAAATCCTTTAAAAATAGCTTTATCAAGGGCAAAGAAAAAACATGAATATGGGGGTAAATATCATGAAGGCCTGCATGCTCTGCCATTTTTCTGAATTCATATTCTGCAAACTCCAAGCTTTCATTTTGATTTTTAAAAATCAGTCATTTTCCCATTAAGATAAAGCTATTGCAGGTGTGCTACTGCTCCTAAGCAGTTTGAGATTTTGGTATGGACAATGCTACTAAGTGCCAAAAATGAACAACACAGGTTTTCCAAACATACCTCACCCAAAAACCAAAGGTGCTAGCTCACCTTGCTCTCATTCCATTCAGTCAACTGAATGTCATTCCTAACTGGTACTATGTAAAGTGCTAGAAATATTAAGCATAGGTTCGCTTTTCTCCAGAAAAAAGGAAATTAAATGCTCTCATAAGATTAAGAGTGCTTAGTTGAAAATCACTAAGTCAGGAAATTCATAAGCTAAGGTTATAACAACTACATTAACTCTGCCTCATTGTGCACCCACAGTTGTGTCAAACTGACATACGTGGAGCCGTGTGTTATAATGTTCTGAGCCATTAACATCTTAATATACATCTGTTATCTGTATTTTCCCCCCAAACAGCTGTTTTTTCTATTGAGGGCAGTTTATATACAGCTGCTCAGGAAGGAATCTCCAGAAAATAAGCTAATAAAAGCCACATCTTAAAGTGGTGTTCGGAATCATTAGGATGGATCACTACATAGGTAGTGGAGTGGGTACTTTCAGATAATGTCTAATAGCTATTCCCTTGACAGAAATATTTTTGGGGAGAGGGCAAGGGCCAGGGATAGGAAGCAGAAAATCATCTTCAGCAGAACCTCAGAGTTACAAACACCAGAGTTATGAACTGACCAGTCAATCACACACCTCATTTAGAACCAGAATTATGCAATCGGGCAGAGGCAGAGACGAGACCCAAAAAAAAAAAAAAAAGTACAGTACAGTACAGTGTTAAATGTAAACTACTAAAAAATAAAGGGAAAACAGAATTTTTCTTCTGCATAGTAAAGTTTCAAAGCTGTATTAAGTCAATGTTCAGTTGTAAACTTTTGAAAGAGCAACCATAAAGTTTTGTTCAGAGTTATGTACCACCTCCATTCCCGCAGTGTTTGTAACTCTGAGGTTCTACTATACTTGCTTTCAGAAGGTTACATAATATATAGTCTGTTGGTTTGGTTACACAAGGGGGATGAATCGTTGGGGCAGATGAAGAAATGTACTTCCTTGAAAGAGGCAGTGATACACACATGGGCTTAGACAGTGTAAGAAAAGTAACCTTTAGATCATGCTCTAGACATTTTTTTATATTTTGTATCTGAATAGATGCATTGATTTTGAAATTCCATTTCAATAAATGTATCAATAAAATGATTTTTATATAAGGCAACCCGAATCAGATCTCTGATACTGCACACTAGATACAACTACAGATAAGTGCCTCAGAATAAGCAGTAGACCCATGGATCAAAGGAGGCAGAATCAGCCAGAGTACAAGACCAAGTGTCTTGGGGTTTGCAATCTACCTTCCAAAAGAGTTCCATGAGGGAGGTGGTAAGGGCTAGTGTGGGCACAAGAAAGCCCAAAGCAACCTAAAAGTTATGGGGCACAGTTGCAGGAGTTTTGTCATTTCGTATTTTTCTGGTTAAGCCTGTAGCAATGCTACTGGAACCTTAACTTTTGCATCTCTTAACTTCAGGTTTTAAGTATACAACAACATGCTGTGTTGAGTATTTTTGTATTTAACTCTTCCTAATGCATAGTAAGTGTACTTGATGCCTTATATGCAAATAAATGAATACTGTGGCTGGATCTGAAGAGGCCTATAACACGTGAGAAAACAATTCAAACCAAGAATGTGTAATGTTTTAAAGGTGATCTGCAAAGAAAAAAATGGGTCTGTCAATGTAAAAATAAAGTCTAAAATATTTTTTCCAAAATAAAAGGACGTCTTTAATAAAAAACATTGCCTCTTCAGCTGAGCTGAGAGCTCACCCAGAAATCCACCAGTAAAACCAGTCTTGACATTTTCGATATCTTATGGTAAATACAGGCTTTTTAAAAAAGCCTTTCTGGCCTCTTACATATATAATCTCATAGAGATACAAAGAAAAGGACACCAGACCAACATTTTAAACTTGTTTGCAAGTCTCCCTTAAAGGAGGGATTTTGACACCAAGGTTGTTTTCTGAAGTGGAGCATGGGTGGCTGTTTCAATCAGCAGAGCAGCAATAAAGGAGGCACTAAGCTAGAAGTGGGAGAAGACGGTTATACCATATTTCCATTTGGGATTGTCTCACAAAAATGTTGCTCGCAGATACTGAACACATGACAGCACCAATGGCAACCACATAACAAAGTTCTACTTGTTTTTTATACTAACACAATAATTAAACTGGTGTAGCTGTGGGCTCCCAGCAGCGCTAACACTGCTTCATAAGACCCAATTTTAGTGTCAATGATAGTTTTGTTTGGTTGGGTTTGGATTTGTTTTGTTTACAGTCGCTAGAAAAACTTTTAGAGGGAGATGACAGTTTGGAATGGGGAAGAGAGAAGGAACAGCAAGCTGAGGAGAAAGAACTATTATTAACTGGAAAACCGTAGTCAATTATTGCACTTATTTGAAATACAAAATAATGGCCTTCTAGCCAAAGGAAGGAATATTTTTTTCTACTAAAGGGAAGAGTATGTAGAGAAGGGAAGATCAAAAAGGAAAAAGTGAAGTCAGAGAATTAGAAGGTGAAGGGGTTGGAGAAACTTCAAATGCTCATAGCATGACTACTTAAAGGAGGCCAAAGGCAACAAACAACCTTCACTGCAATTTCTACTTTCCGTATCCCACACACCCTCTTTCAAATTACCCTCTCCGTAATGAGTGCAACATAATGCAATGGAATAGCTGCAGTTTTAATCTTTTCCCCACATACCTTTTTTTCTTGGTCTTCCTTTCTGCAGTACTTTCTCCAGTTCTAATTAAGGGGAGGGGAAAAACAATGGCTTTGATTAATGCAGTGGGAAAAATTAAGTAAACAGGTGCATAGTGGAGTTGAGATTTATATCATCATCATCCCACTGGCAGAAAAGTAAACAGTGGGTTGTAATGACTAAAGTTCACTTGGCACATTCACTTTCAGCCATTTTTCAACCCAAGAAGACATTCCCTATTACTTAAAAAAAACTGTTGTGTTTTACCCTTTTAAACATTTTTTGTATTTGAGTATGCCACACTCTCAGTTACCTAAAGTCTGCTGCAGTTTCCACGGTATGCATCCGATGAAGTGAGCTGTAGCTCACGAAAGCTCATGCTCAAATAAATTGGTTAGTCTCTAAGGTGCCACAAGTACTCCTTTTCTTTTTGCGAATACAGACTAACACGGCTGTTACTCTGAAACCTGTCTTCTGCTAAGGGTTATTTACATTAAAATGATACTGTCGGTGTGAAAAGAAGATGTGTACAAGTTTTCTTTACCTAATATCTCAAATTATTAAAACTAAGTTTTCAAAATCTAAATTAGCTTTCATCATTTACGTTCTTCATGAATTTCTCTCCTGTGCAACAGAGAGAAAAAAGTCCATTTTTATTAATAATATCTAGCTATTTCACTTTCAGGTCCTCATGCATTCACACACTGATAGAAAGTTTGGGTTTCAAACACTGCAGTGAAATGCTTGTTTAACAAAATACTTTCTCCATGGGATTTCCTTTTTAATTCCGAAGGAGATTTCTGTTGGTCTTAACTTTTGAGAAAACATTTCCACAAAGTAGCAGAATTAGGCCAAATTTGCCATGACTGTTCCCCTTTCAATTCATATGGTCATATCACCCTTTCAGCCAACAGCAGAAGTAAACCACATGAGGTCTCTATTTTGCATAGCATTTAAGTATGTAATTAATTCCATCCCTATTCGGGGAGTGGAGTAGCGTGTCTGTGTGGTTAAGGTCCTCAGCTACAGTCCTGAAGATCCTGGGTTTGAGTACCAAGTATCAGAGGGGTGGCCGTGTTAGTCTGTATCCACCTGTGGCACCTTTAAGACTAACTGATTTATTTGGGCATAAGCTATTGTGGATAAAAACCCCACTTCTTCAGATGCATATCACTTGACTTCACACTGAAAGGTTTCCTCTACTCACCATCTTTGATGTGATGCTGGCCACATCACTCCCTGGTACACTGTTGGCTATGAAACTGATATGCCTTAACCACAGCAGCCCATTGAGCCATTGGCTCCAGACAGCTTTTAAGCATATGTTTAACTTTAGCTTGTATTTACGTCCCATTTGACATCCAGTGGATTTAAGACCTTTCCCAAAAAGGGATTCTTTCCTTAATCAAGGCCTAATATTAGAAGCAAACTTAGATAAATAGACGCAAAAACTATTTCTGGTTTTTACAATTCAGTTACTCACATTTCACTTATAAGATGAGCAGCAATGGATTTTAGAAAACAGAGCTCATCCATACAGATTCCGAAATAATGTTTTTTTTTTTTAACATAATATTTTAATAAAATGGTGGTAGGTAACATCAAGGAGAATGCAGACTTGCCTACCGTCACACAGACCTGCAAAATGCATGAGCATATTGCAAGATGTCAAGCATTCCTGAACAACTGGTAAAATGTCATGGGTCTGTGTGCAAGAGGAGTACTTTCCTCACATAATCCCCAGTAGCCATACAGAGGGTTCACTAAACTACAAACCACGAGCTCACAAATTCTAATCCCAACTCTTTTACTAATCGTTCTCCATATTTCTGTGACCTCCACAACCTTTACTAATCAGGGCCTCATGCTCCACCTTAGAGGAGGCATTTATCATTCATTCATTTTACACCATTTATCATTCATTCATTTTACACCAGGCAAAGCAGGGAATACAACTCCGGTCTCTAATTTGCCAAATTGCCTCTCAGAAGAAAGGGCCTAGATTATGTGTTAGCCTAACCCATGATAACAGAGCGTAGATTCTTTGTCCCAATTTAGTGGCCAACCCAGACATAAGTTTATGAGTCTGCTACTACCTCCATGCTAATGTGTATTGTCCTGGAGCTCAAGTGGGAGAAGCTTATACTTTTAAATCCAGAACTCCCAGGTTCAAACTCTGCAGATGATCCAAACAGAGACATTATTATACATGGCTATGCAATCTCTACTCTACCATACTCAGCTCCCAGAGCCAGCAATACAAATCAGGAATCCTCATACTCTGCATTCACAAGCAGTTGTCTAACCCAGTAATAAAGTGTGCTATCTCCCCCTCTACAATCTGCTCCATAGGGGGACAACAGTAAGCTTCCCCTATCAGTTATTCCTATAGTTGCCATGCTAGAGGACGATGGCATAAATCTGAAGATTGTGGGATCAAACCTGTGTTGTTTTATTATTGCCCCGCTGCTGCCCTATAGATAAACCAAGATCTTAATTTTCTACAGATGCATGAGCATTAAATCCACACTCCTCCCCTACACAGAATCACATAGCTGAAGTCCGTGCTAGTATGCAAATTAGTTACAAATATTAAAAATTGGGTAATTTACATGTATCACACAGAGTTGCACAAAACTTGGCAGCTACTGGAATGAAACCTTTCAAGCCTCCATTTGGTACTGTACTTATGTCATCATTCACTATAGAAAAGCCAGGGTGTCTGCCCTCAGGATGTTGAGGAGGTATTACACGTCTCAGCTTTGTACTACATAAAATGTATTACATTTTTAAACAAGCGGTAATTCAGTTTTCCTCTTTTAGAATCTTACAGCAACCTTTTTAGAATTTTAGAAGCCTTTAAAATTCTCTTTTCATTGTCTTCATTAAGAACATTATTTGCAGTATTTAAAGTATCTTTACATTTCATTCTTACTTCACTTCCCTTCCTCACCCCAGCTATTGTACAGTACTTGATACCTAACAAGTAGGGACAAGGAAATATGTTCCAAATGTTGCATCAAAATTGGAATAAATTTAAGTGTCTAAAAGCACACAGTCATTATGTCTTAGAGGGCTTCATAATCAGAATTATTACTTTGTACTGAAGTTCCTTGATTTTAGGTCACACAACCTCCATCTAGGTTAATAACTAACTAGAAGGATCATAATGCAAAATTATTTTCACATTACCTAGTCTTGGACAACGAGACTTGTTTGCCAGTGCAAGGCTATATTAGATATGCAGTTATTCCATTTAAAAAACTACAGTTGTCAAAAAATGAAGATGTTAAGACTGACACAATGGCTTTAATTCTGGCCCTTGTAAATGCGTATTACTTTTACAACCATATTGTTCTATGTAGGTTTTTATATGGAATGTCCTAGCTTTTTGTTGGGGTTTTTTAAGAAAAGTCCAAAAAAATCATTATGTACACAGGTCATAACATGAGTGAAATAGATTTTGAATCTCATTATGCTGTAATTATGCACACCAATCAAGTTTTTTTTAAAAACCCTCACCCCCCCCCACATCCCACTTTTCTCTAGAAAATAATTATTTTAAAAGTGCTTGTGCTAAAAAAAATTTTAATGCACCACCTATGATTTTCAAAGACTCATAACTGCCAAATCAAAACCAGTTTTTACTGCACCACTGAAAAGTGCATCTCATAAAATATTAGCCTCATACCAAATTTCACCTTTCTAATGCCAAACTATTTCCACATTAAACCTTTTAAAAAGAAATAGTTTAAAACATTTTTTTTATAATAAAGTATTTTCCTCCACACCGCTCATGTTTTTAAAAATGGCTGAACCATTTTTTGCTCAGACTTTAAAAGAAAATTAACCCTTCGGTGGAGACCTTGTGTAATCCCCACACCTTCTGGATGTGATGTTCTGTCCCCTTTAGTGGCACCAAGACCACTTAGAGATTAATGAATCTGCTACTGCCTCAGTTAAGGCTTTTAGCTCATTCCTTAGAGACTCATATATTAAGCTTCAGAGGTCCCAGGTTTGATCCCCCCACTGACAACCGGGGTCTGTCCGTGTTATACTTGCATAGAAAATTTCAGCCCCGAAAGAATAAAGATTTAGAAAGTTGTAAGCAACTGACAAAGGGAAAAATAAAGTTAGAATTAAAATGCTTAGGACACCTTAAATCCTTGGGCTTCACTTGGCCAATGGCATTAAGCACTGTGTTGTCTAACCCTGCTTAAAACAAGTCTACACAACACATGGTTCAACACATCAGCAGCCATTAGTTCTTGCCTATGATAGTGTTCCTACCATTGCTACCAATAGTGAGTACCATTGCTATTCAGTATATGATAACAGCTAGGAGGATGGTTGACATAAAAATTATATGAAATATCCCTTTATGTTCAACATTTTGGAAAGCTTCTCAGTTCATTAAATTATTTTCTCTCTGAAGGCACTTTTGATTAAAAGGGTGAAATGTTTGAATACTGAATTCTTCTTCGCTGGGAGAAACAACAAAATTCTATCTAGGGGCCAAAAGAGTAAGTGAAGTCACACTTCAGATTAAGGCAAAGTCCAATTTGGCTATTTCTTCTTGGTTGCAGGTATCACCTGCCCAGGTGTCTCAGATGTCAAAACTGCAAAGCATGTCGTTCTTTTAATCCAATAAAATGTATCCCCGATATTTCTAGGAATAAAGAATTGGCAATACATATGAATCCATATCTTGCTCCCCTATTTGCTTTTTATTCTTCAAAACTAAATACAAGGAAAAACTATGCTTCTGATACACTGTTAACGTAGCACTTATGTTTTTGTTGGTGGACATTTATGGTGAGACTACAAAAATGGACACATCACATACTTTTCTAATTGTGATTGTTGTCCCCACACTAGAAAAGATGTACACAAACTGTTTTCTAAGCCCCATGTAAACACGTAATAAGGTAAGTGATCAAGGTGCCCAGAAAACAGTGCCCCATTACATAAAGGCCCCATTACTTATTTTGACTTTATTCTAGTGACCCATTTTTGTTTAAAAAAACTGTTTGACCTAAGTTATAACAGGGAGAGGCTGACCAAATAACTTGTGGATACTGTGGGATACAAATACATATATACATCCTCTGATGTACATACAGTTACTATTAATGTTAATGGGAGTTACACATACAGACTCAAGAGAATGAACACAAAAACCACACAAAGAAAACTGACCACGCTACTACAATCTCCCAAATACAGTCTATACATACTTCTGCTAATGGCTTTTAAGCTTTAGCCCAGCTGATCTTACCTTTGTTGCAACAACAGTCTGTTTTCTTTTTCTTTCAGAGCTTTCGCTAATTCAACTGTCCTTGATGGTCTGTGTAGATATTTTCTTTTCCCTGTACATTCATAGGTCCAATGTCCAAACTCTAAACACTTCTGACATCTCACATGCTGCTTGTTGGCCTCCCTACAAAAATACAGAATTTGCTTAAGAGCAGGTTTGTATTTAAAGCTGGGATATTTAAGCACAATCAACACTGTCTATTGAAAATTACATGGTACATTTTAGCATACCAGTCCTAAGACAAAGTATTTGTCTTGTTTAATTTGAGCTTCAACTGTCTGCCTGTATTTATTGGTGCTTTAGCTTTTCTCAAGTCAGAACAATCCTGCATTTCACTGGAGCTCCAGACAAGCACATGCATATGTCTGCATATAGTCAATGGCAGGATTGGGTCCTTTGTGATTACTGGAATGTTCCTGTATCAGTTATTTATCAGAATGAACACAAAGACACTTTTCTATTCCAGAACTGGAGCTCTCAATTCTCTCTTTCTGCTGAAGTGGTAAAGACTAAACTACACTTGGCTCTTGGCAAGTGGTGTGTGGCCAGTATTTTAGTTTAGTAACTCCTATTGGTTGGTTTCTCTTTCAATCTTTCCTCACTCTACTGGGAGTTCATAATTTCCCATTCCCTTCAGAATTTAAAATTCATAAGCAACTATTAAAGAGTTTGAAGAAAAATGGAAGTGGAGCAATTCTTAAGTTTCAGCCAGTGAACAAAGGTAATTCAATTATGGAAAACACAATTCTTGTCCCAAACTAACTGGCAAATATTTTGGCAGCATCTTTTATATTCCGGCACCAACTGTGTGAAATATGGTTACATAAACATAGATAAATGTTAGTAAATTGTACTCAATGTTACAATCTCCAAAGAATTTGTACCTGCCTCCATAGTTTTTTCAAACAAGCACCTAAAAATCTGTTCCTATCCATTGAGTCAGTTTGTTGCAATATTTTGGACAGCCTAATTTTCAAATCATGGGAGTCTAGTGATTAGAGGCAGGACAGAATGTCAGACTAAATAGGACACTGTGTTCCTTGTGGGAAATTGAAGAGCAATCCTACAATTTCAGCAGCCAATTAATGACTGCTATCACAAAAGATGCAACTGAGGCATGTGAAGTTCAAAGGTAACATTTTACTCTGTCCATCCCAAGTATAACCTGATTCTGGCTTTCTTGTGTGCATAATTCACTAGAGTTAGCCATGCAAAATTTTACTCACCTGCTTCCTGAGAAGGTGTAAGCTATTAATTTTTCACCATCATCATAGTAAACATGGGTGAATAATTTTGAGCCCACACTGGTAAATATTCACAGAATTTTGCAATACTTTGCTAGAATTCACAGAGGAAAAAATGCTTCCTTTCAGTTTAATATAGGTTAAATGAGACTCTGATGATATACTCATCCTGAAGAATGGAGTTCCCACTAATAACTTTTCACTGACACAGGAAAGGAGGTAAAGTTGTTTCCTCTGTTTTATTTTTCCCTCCCACGCCTCATTAATTTCTTTAGCTTTAAAATAAAATATTTAGCATTTTAATGCGATTCATATTTACACTCCCATGAGGTAGGTATTAGTCTAATGTTACAAATGAGGAAATTAAAGCAGAGATATTGAGTGACTCACCCAAGGTCACATCACAAATTGGTGCCAGAGCCAAGATTAAAGCTAGGATTTTCTGACTCCCAGTCTTCTGCTTAGTTTATTGCACCAAGCTGCCTTTCAGCTCTGCCTTTTATCCCTCTTCCCTCAACTGAAAGACTCACTTCGGAAAGTTCAGTCCATTCAGAGCCACATATATACAACAGCCATAAACTACTAGAAAGAGGAAAATTCCTAACTCCATATTTAGCATTTAGACACAGTAAAGAGGAGGAGGATAGGAGGAAGGAGGAGAGAGAGGCTATTAGCATTGATGGATGTTTTGGTTTGGTGTGGAACTATGAGTCACCTACTGAGGTACAGAAGAATGGCATGGTTCATTGGCCTTTGTCATCACTTACTCAGGCTCCCAGGTCTATCAAGTTTCTAATAGTCATCCTGTCTATAACATCCAACACCTTTTCGAGACTAAACTTCTCTGGCTTCTTGCAGTAGCCCTAAGGAGAAATGGTGCTAATTTAGATTCAATAGGGAAAAAGTAAGACTCACAATTAATTGCACACAATTAACTTTGAGAATTTAATTTCAGTAGGGAACAGTACTTTTAGTAAGTAGGCTGAACAAGATTCTAGGGCTACTGAAAGGTTTTTAAAAGTTTCATTTTCTCAAGCTCCATTTCTAGACTCCACTGAGAGAATGTCTGTGAATACTGACCTGCCTTGAGACGCACATTGCACTCAATGGTCAGCCCCCCATTAGCCTAGTAAAATAACTCTACTTGAAATTTTACAAAGATTAAAAAAAGAACTTAAGGTTAACTAGGTGTATTTAGACTACTGAATACATGGAGTTGTAAACAAAATGAGGCCCCAAACAGCTAGTAAACCATCACTGATATATTTTATGTGGTGGATGTCACTTAATAGACAAATATTAAAAAAGATCTTTGCTCCTAAAATGTTACCGTATAGGTTTGGATGTGCTGGAGGGGTATCCAAACTAATGGAAAGATACTGCTACCAGCCCCGACTAAGAAGAGGGGCTGAAACACCTATATACTGTAGCAATATATGTTTTAGACATGCTAAGAGATAGATGAAGATTCTTATGTCGCCTGCCTATTCCTCCATGGAGATTAGTAGAGAGGGAAGACTTTTCTGCTGCATCAACTCCCTGCCAACTCCTACAGAAATCAGTCTTGTCTCAACTGAAGCTCAGAGGAGGAGGAAGTTTGGTACATTGACTACATTGACAGAAAAAAACCTGGATTCAATCTGCAAGAGGAGGTAACTAGGTTGACGGAAGAATTCTTTTGTCAATCTAGCCGTATTCTACACTGGGGGTTAGGTTAACCTAACTAAGGATGCAAAACTTTTCACAGACCTGAGCAACATAGCTAGGTTGATCTAATTTTTGAACAAAACCAGGCCTTAGACTGCTGGCTCTGCCACAGATGCCATATGTGAGCAGAACTAGCACAGTTCCTCCACTTAATGAACGTGCAAACACAAACAAACATTCAGCTTTTGGTGCCAACTCAAACCAGCACATATGTTCTCTATTGGAAGACACTAGAAAACTAGACTGTAAAACCAAACAAAAACATACCATCACTTCCAGGTCCCAACACCACTCATCTCCTGACCAAAAAAGCAGACAATTCCACCCAAACCAAAATAAAATCAAAATCTAAAAGCAATCTAATCACCGGGAAAAAAACAAATCAAACAAACTAGACTGCTACAGATTTCTAACCACAGCCCTAATAGCAAATCTCACACAAATGAAATGGACAAGACTAAGGCCTTGTCTACACTACTAAGTTTTGTTGACAAAAGGCAGCCCAAGTCGGAGCAAAGACGACATGTTCCAGGAGGTACCGCTCTTCTCCAATGCAGAGAAAAGGAAATGCAAGGAGTGGAGGGAAGCTGAAAGGCAAGACAGAAAAAAAAATCAGAAGTTTGTTAAGGATGCTACTGAGCGGATGATTAAAGTCACCGAGGAGCAACCACAGATGCTGAAGTCCTTAATAATGCTGCAGACTGAGCAGATGCGTGCCCACCCTCCTCTGCAGCACATTCAGATCTTTTTTCCATGCACCCCTCCCCAAACTCCACCGGCACAGTCCTTTCTGCTTTCCTGGATTTCTTAGTTTCCCCTTCACTCCACTCCCCAGGACAACTTTAAAAACGATAGCTGGACCCACAGCTCAGATCATTTGCCCTTCCCTGGTACCTCCTTTTCCACCAAGCACCTTTGTGTGCTGTTTCTTGTACAATAAAAGCAAAGTTTTTGAACGGTAATTCATCTTTATTTGTTTCCTACAAATTGAGATAGCAGGCACTACCAATACATACACAGGCATTCTAATCATTTGCTTACTGGAATGCAATACCCCAAATGTCACCATTGCTTCCTAGGAAAACTACATGTAATGTAACATTGCAGCACCAATCACAGAGAAATACATGATTGGTTCTCATTTTCCAAATGTTGCCTCAAAGCCTCCCCAATTCAAATTGCCCCCTCTGACAGCTCAAAATCAGCAGCAAAGCAGTCTGCCTCAATACTCCACCTCTGAGAAAATCTTTCACCCTTAGCTTCACAAAGATTATGCAATGTACAAATTGTAGCTATGACCATGGGAATATTATCCTCACTGAGGTCTAACCTGCCATAAAGGCATCGCCAGCGCTCCTTTAATCTACCAAAGGCACATCCCAGAGTCATCCAGCACCTACTCAGCCTGTTGTTGAACCACTCCTTACTGCTGTCCAGGTTTCCTGTGTTAGGTTTCATGAGCCATGGCTGTAAGGGGTACGCCGGGTCTCCCAGGATCACTATGGGCATTTCAACATCCTCTACTGTAATCTTCTGGTCTGGAAATAAAGTCCCTGCTTGTAGCTTTCTATACAGGCCAGAGTTCCTGATGATGCATGCGTCATGCACCTTCCTGGACCACCCCACATTCATGTCAGTGAAACGCCCATGGTGATCACCAAGTGCCTCCAACACCATGGAGAAGTACCCTTTCCTATTGATGTACTCTGTTGCAAGGCGGTCTGGTGCCAAAATTGGAATGTGCGTGCCATCTAGTACCCCTCCAGTTACAGAAACCCATTTCTGCAAAGCCGTCCACTATTTTATGCATATTTCCCAGAGTCATGGTCCTTCGTAGCAGGATGCGATTAACTGCCCTGCACACTTGCATTAATAAAGCCCCAACAGTCGACTTTCCGAATCCAAATTGATTCACGACCAACCAGTAGCAGTCTGGAGTCGCCAGCTTTCATACGATTACCACACACTTCTCTACTGATAGGGCAGCTCTCATTCTGGTGTCCTTGTGCCACAGTGCTGGGGCGAGCACCGCACACAGTTCCAGGAAGGTGGCTTTCCGCATCCAAAAGTTCTGTAGCCACTGCTCGTCATTCCACACCTGCATGACAATACAATCCCACCAGTCAGTGCTTCCCGAGCCCAAAAGCAACAGTCTACCCTCTGCAGCTGTTCTGTGAATGCCAAAAGCAATCTAAAGTTGCTCCTATGCATACCACACAGCATGTCAGGCAACTAAGAGTCTTCTTCAGTTAGGTGACTAGGAGTCTTCTTCACAATTAACTGCACTGCCATCTGCGATATCTTCATGACAGTTATCAGAGCATAAGAGAGCAGTGCGGGATCCATCCCTTCTCACAAAGATGCCGGGGTGCACAGCAAAGAAGGGCCATTGAAAAATTCTGCAAAAGAAAGCTGGAAGCCCATGGAATGCTGGGACAGAAAGCAATGCTTCACAGGACATAAAGCCCAGTCCCAAGATGCGCCACGATCCGCTCCACCTTCCCACAAGACCTAGCGGCAGACTGGACTGTGGGATACATACTCACAGTGCACTGCTCACACTGTTCATGCTAGTGCCCCAAGTGTGGACGTGCTCTGCTGACAGAGGAAATGAGTGTGAACATGCAATACCGATTTTTATGATCGCGTTTTTTGAGTGTTGACATAACCTTTGTCGACAAAACTGTAGTGTACACAAGGCCTAAGGCAAGCTCATGCTGAACATGGGATCAGTGACTATAAACTGTAAATGGAAGCTAGGAGATACATAGCACAATGCAAAACACATACAACCAACATGTAAAAGGATAAGTTGAAATGGAGAGACTGTTCCAAAATTAAAGGGAAATAATTATTCCATAAATCATCAGAAATTATGAAACTTTCCACTGAAAAGCAAGGAAAAACTACATAATCCTGGAAAAAGGAAGAAATGCAATAACACTATCCACCCCTTATTATCGCAACTGAAACAGACAAATATGACAAATCATTACAGGGAATAAACTCCCAAATACTACAGTGAAACCCTAAACAGACATTTGATGTACTTTCTCCCAGGCTTGTCTTTTACTCACTTGGCTTGAAAGGCTAACAACAAAAAAATTCATTTGAAATTACTTTGGCCAAGATACTTTAAGGTGACCTACAGAATTTAAAAACAAAAATGTAGGCTTATGCTTTTTTGTGTGCACTTCTGTGGACGTGTTAATAAACCCGACATGACTTTTTTCTGCCTTTCTTTTGTTAAACTTTAAAATAGTGTGTTTTGTCCCTGGTTTACTTGTGGACCTCATGAATCTCCCAGACTGGTGTATTGTGAGTTCTCACACCTTAACTGAAAGGTGGGGGTGTTGAACCTTTAACATTTTGTGGAAAGAATGCCATGATTGATTAATAAGACATTGGTGTTAACAACTACTCAAAACCAGAGTTTTAAATAATCGGACTGAGACATCTTCCCCTCTCAGTCATTCAGCTTTCATTCTTTACTCTTGTAATACCATCATTTCACTAGTTCTTTAATCACCATAGTCTGCCAAAACACACAAGATCTGAATTTCTGGTGTAAAAAACAAGCAGAATATTTTCTGAACTTTTGAAAAGGGGAAGAAAAAAGCCCATTTAACCTCTTTGTTTATCAGGGGGCTGATCTGTAGTGGTACTTAGCTATCTCACACTGATAGTGAAACACTTAGTTTGTTAACATTTGTAAAGAGCTTTGAAATCCTCAGATGCAAGGAGCTAGAGAAGTGAAGAGTATTTATTATTCCTGTAAGGCTCTGTACCATGGTTAACTTAATCTTCCAATCTACATTATAGAATTTGTTTTTAGGAATCAGTGAACAGCAGGCCCGTCCCAGTTCACAGTCAGCACAGACAGGGTAGAGTCAGCTCTTTCTCGGAGGAAGTACTTCATTATCCATCCCAACTAAAGATTTACAACTTTAAAAGAATAAAAATCTGCTCTCACGCTGCGGCCCTTTAACTGTGGGACTGTCCCCCTATGGGGGTGGGGGGGTTGCACTCCAGTGCTGCAAGGTGCACGTCAGACACTGGAGGGGCTGAGGAGTCCTGTACACTTGCAATGCATTATCTACTGCCCATCACCGCCTATACCACGGCCCCTGGCGTACGCGACTGGCCTGGCCAGCCACCGCTACCCGCCCCCCTCCCGAAGGGCTTGCTCCACACCCCACTTGCAGGCTCTCCGGGTTGGGTGAAGGCAGCGATTCTGCTCCCCACACACCTCCCGAGGGGTCCCACGCACACGAGCATCACCGCCTCCGCCGGGATTCCCCTCCGAGGCGCCCCCTCCCAGGAGAGCCCGCGTCCCTGAGGCTTCCCCTCCGAGACAACCCTCCGCTCTCCTGCCCACGGGACGCCGCTTTTCTCGGGCTGCCGCACGAAGACAAGCCCCTCGGGGATCCGCTGTCTCCGAGGACCCGCCCTTAGCCCCCGGCCCGGCGCACTCACGCCTGCCGCCGAGCGATGAGTCGGTGCATGGGAGTCGCCATCTTAGCCCCTGGCCGGAAAGTGAGGGATGCCGACGATAGGCCACCGCGCTGCATGCTGGGCAATTCCGCCCTCCTCCTCCTTCCCCATTGGGAGAGAAGCCGGCAGCTGCCTGCCACAAAGAGCCAGGCGCCTGGCGGCTAGAGAGGACGTGCGTTCGGGCCTGTCATCTACCTCAGCTCCACTCCTCCGGGCCTGCCTAGCCGCTCGTGCGGCTCCCTGCCGTTCCAGCGGTGCGCTCAGCTCTGTCCAGTCTCCTTCTCCCCCGGGGCCTCTCGCCCTTCCTGGGGCCATGTGCATGCCTCTCCCCGGGCGGTCCGTCCCCCTCTTACCCTCCTGTACCTACAGTGCATAGGCACCAGTTCCCGTCTCTTGTTTTCGGCTTGGGCTGGTCTCTTCACGCTTCTGAGTGTCACACTGGTGGATTTGGCTTCTTTCTCTAAGTTTCTCTAGGTCACCCTCTTTTTCTCTTCCCAGGGGGTTTCCACGTTATCACTGGCCATAGAAGTGCATCCTTAAAGCCTCTCCTAATATGCCCTCCATCGTCATCTTCTTACCACGTTTGATGCTTTAGCTTAGATTTTGATCTTACCATGTTTGATGCTTTAGCTGTAGATTTCCATGACTCAGCTCCGTAAAGGAGGACAGACATGTTGCCAATGTTAGAAAACTGTATTTTTGTGTCTGTGCCTATCATAGAAGTGTAGGACTGGAAAGGACCTCAATGGGTCATCTAGTCCAGTCCCCTGCATTCAAGACAGGACTAAGCAATAACTAGACCATTCCTGACAGGTGTTTGTTTAACTTGCTTGTTCTTAATCAATTCTTATGAATGAGACTCCACAACCTCTGTAGGGAATTTGTTCCAGTGCTTAACTTCCCTGAGAGTTAGGAAGTTTTTCCTAATACCCAACCAAAACTTCCTTAGCTGCAATTTAAGCCCATGCTACTTTTCCATCTCTTTTCAAGTTTATGAAAGCTGTGTGGTGCTTCTGATATTTGTTGCTTGATATCTAACATGGTGTCACTATCATTGTACATCTCACTCCCTAGATAAGTAAAATAACATACTATTTCTAGTGTGTCTTCATCCGCTCTGATGATTACTTTTGATACATGGATAGCTATATATTGTCTTCTTTTGTGGTTGAACAAACCAGCTTGCTTTGCTGTATCTGCCAAAAGCTGTATCTTTTTTTTCTTTAAGAACTAAGCATGACAATGTCATCAGCAAAAACAAGGTCATCCAATTGTGTGTTATCGTTTGTCCATAAAATTCCTTGATTGCCTTTTGCAGTTACTTTCTTCATGACATAGTCCATGACAAGTGCAAGTAATAGTGAGGACATAATACACCCTTACCTTACTCCAGTTTTCACTGCAAATTGTTGGCTGATGTTGTCACCACCTCAGATTGCGCTTTTAGCATTATCATACCGATCCTTGATTAGTCTAATTATTTTTGCTGGTGTTCCATAATATGCCCTAATTCTTCAAAGACTGTCTCTGTGTATGCTGTCAAAAGCCATCTGGAAATCTGTAAGATTTACCACAAGAGGTGCTTGCTACTCCACACTTTGTTTTATAACATGTCTGAGAACAATACAATCTGTGCATGATTCCATGGTTTAAATCCTAAATGGTCAAAATCCATTTCACTCTGGGCCTTCTTAAACCGACACTGGGCCCTGACACCCCCATAGGTGTCAGCCAAGTATGTTCTCCGTTGGGGCCTGATCCCTATACACAACTCCTTCCTCTTGTTAATTACTTTTTCCTCATGGTGAACACTGCCCCCAGTGGGGTTGCCCGCATCTTGGCCCCTCCCACAAGCCCACATTTCCTTCTGTCTTCCCCTCCCTTTCTGGGGAAGATTCTTTTGGCCTCGCAGGGTTCAGTTATACCCATTATTGCCTCCCAGACACCCTCATTTCAGGGAACTACTGAACTGAGTGAATTTGGAATGGTAGAGCTGATTCTTTCCTGGATTAGTTTGAATGGAACATTGAAACACACAGAGAGAGGAAAAAATCCTTCATCACAAGAATGATAAAATTAAATGGCTTTCAAACTTCAATAATCCCAAAGGAGCTGAGGTTCCCTGGAGTCACAGTCTGATTTAGGATTTTCGGTTCTTAGATACCACAGTGATAGGTGCTATAGATAAACCAAAAATAGATACACTGTCCCAATTTTATTCAGGTCATGTTGCTTGCCTCTCCACACTTTATTTGATTCCTGCTGTGTTCAGGGAAACAGGACTTTGATGCAATCCTATTTATTTACAAACATACACCTGACTCCATCACCAGTTTCTCCTTCTAACTGGACAAGACCCCAAATTCTTGGATAACTGCTCAGGTCATAAGGTGTAATAACTGGTCTTGTTTCCCAGAGCTTGTTCTGACCGTGTCCTTGGCTTGACCACAGAGTTCCTATGTGATGCTAGGCAGTTACATAAACCAGTGTTACCACTTTGTGTTTTTGTTGCTATATTAGGCTCTAGAGATACTGACTGTATAAATGGATATAACAGGTTTCACACATACTCACATGCTATATTTTGGACAAAGAAGTACCCTTCCTGTGGGTTGCTGGGTTTTCTTAGGTTGGTTATATTTTTAAATATATACAACTAATATAGTAATGCATCTCAACTCTGAGCCAATCCAGTGTTCTGTTTTGTGCAGATTAAATCTACCAATAAGAACTCTTGACACACATACAAGCCCTTCACACCAGTTCATTTCAACCAATAGAATTGCAGCATACAAATGAGGTGGAGAAGAAGAGTAATTATTGGTGGAAGTTCCTCTGATGTTAAATGCCACCACTTTGAATTGCTTGAGTTATTGACAAATGCTTGACTGTAACCATACAGTTTGGTACAATTCATAATTATAAACCTAGTTTCCTCACATAACAATTCATAATAATAATTAAAAACTAGCCTGTACACAAATGTACAAGGAAATTTAAATATGTGAAAAGTTTGCAGCTGTAGAAACACTCTGGCTTTGAGCTAGAGAGATCCAAGCGTATATCAGACAGCCCTCAATTTTCAAAAAGGAGTCATTTAACTCATTAGAAATCCTAACACTTCAAAGTATTTACTTGTAGCTTTCCCAAAAATACCATCTCACCCCTACATGCATATATGTTAATTTTATCAGGCCCAGTTTTATATCTCTCTACTAATACCCTACTAATACCCTATTTCAACCAAAAAGCTAAAGTCTGCCTCAAATATGGAGCCATGATTATGGGTCCATAATATATTAAATAATAGTGATCTCTCCAAATAATGGGGATAATCCATTTCAATAAACCACATTTACCTATATAAATCCATGAATTCTATAATTAAGTGTAAATAAATACAATTCTGGTGAATCACGAGGCAGGTTTTTTGCCCCACTCCATATGGCCCAAAAGGAATGGAGTTCCCAGCTATGCCAGCAGCAGTCATACAATGTGTGCTCTATTAATAATAATAGCATCCTCTTGATACAGTGGCAACCAATTAAATGTTGCCTATGGCTGATAAGATAGTAAAAGGTTTTGTTATATATAAACATTTCCAGCTCATCAGAGTTAATTATTGTATGACTCATTCCTGAATCTAATGGCAGTTCCCAGCTCCAAACATTTCAACTGTAATGTCTAATGGCTGATTGCTGTTGCCCTATACTTCAGGTGTCATACTATATTTGGGGCTTTATCTGGCTTCTAATCCCTGTCTCCTTTTGGGTGATACCTTGTGCTAATCCTGTGACTATTCACATCCGACTCCTGCATCTTTCTTAATTTCTGATGTCCAATATCTGAGACTTCACTCATAATTATCTTCTGTAGTATCTGACTCTTGTTTACTGAATCTACTGCCAGTACCTGGTGTTCAGCCTGAATCCCTGTGGTGGTATCTCACTTCTGATGATGAAAGTAAGAAAGGAGAACTTCCTCTCCCAGGACTGAGCTAAGAAACTTCCTTAAGACAAGATAGCTAAGAACATATCCTTGTAACAGCCCATAATTTATTATAATTTGTTTGTCTGCTGCCAGCTTTTATAGCACTTTTATACCACTTTCATATAATCCTGTTCAGAGAGGTCTTGACAACACAGTGGTAAAAGCACCTGTCCTCTAGCTCTACTAAGTATCAGAAGGGTAGCCGTGTTAGTCTGGATCTGTAAAAGCGGCAAAGAGTCCTGTAGCACCTTATAGACTAACAGACTTATTGGAGCATGAGCTTTCATGGGTGAATACCCACGTCGTTGGAACTAACACTCCCATTGTGTCTAGCACCAGTGGAGTTGTACCAATGCTAATGCAACGGCAGGAGATTTCTCTAAAATTAGCAGCGTAGAAAGGGCCTCTGATTACAGGGTGCAGACTTTGCACAGGAAACTCACATGCCAAGCTGTTCCGCAGTATGTTGTTTGTTGCCAAAGTGTGGTGGGGTTTTACTTGTGTTGATGCTTCAATTATGCAGCTTCTAGGAGGGCATTCCAGTTTACATTCTTCTTCCACTGAGGGCCTTGCCTCTGCAGCTGCCTATGACCTGACTTGCCTCTTGAACAGCAAAACCAGAGGAAATGCACTGAAATGCTGATTAATACAAGAATCTGATTACAAACATCATCCAAAACCTAGACTAAATGTTCAGCGTCCTTACACAGCACTCAGGCCATTTGAAGGGAAGAGGATGGCTTAAGGATGGCTCAATGAACTGGCTGTGCACATCAATCCTGTCTTAGCATGCTAGGTTGCTATTTAAAGCTGCAGTATCATTAAGGTACTTCTAAGTGGGCCTTGCAGGAAAATTGCTTTCCAAAATGCTGCACCCTTTGTGTGGAAAGGTGAGACTGGGCACAAAGTGGGGGGAAAGCCTAGAGAAAGTAACTTTAGCTGCCAATCACATGAACATTGAGCTGCTCTATGGCAGTTCGTCAGA